ATGGCACTGGGACGCCAGCTTTGCCACCAAGAGAAGGCTCTGTCCCTGAAGGAGAACGCTTAGTCAATCAGACAGAAATAAAAACAGGCAGCATATAAAAGAGTATATTCAGTTTTCTCCCGAGGGCTTTTCCCTTGCTAGGTATCCTTTAGGGAAACATAAACACGGTTCCTACAACATTAATGGAGTTTTTTGAATTCTTGGCTTATACCAACTTTTCGCCCTTTCTGTGAAAAATCTCTTTTTGCTGGCCGTTGTAACAAGCAGGAGGATGAAGAAGATTGAGGCTGTTATGGTCCGTCCCTCTCACACAAAACTTTTTGGAATAAACGTATACTTCGGACGCATCTGATGTTTCATACCGAAGATAACTTCTGCCTTCCACCTGATTTGAGGATATTGTCCTTCCTGTGTCTGTCCTTTCTTGTATCACATCAGCCCATAGCAAGAATGTTACATATACTAGATATTAAGCCTGCTTTCTCTTTTTATCATGGGGCCTTGAGGAAGACCCATCTCAATTTCATCTTCGCTAAATACAGGTTATTTGTTCTCAACAATTACCCTACACAAATGCAGTGAGATCTGCAGACTTGCAGCTGGCGCAGGAAAGGTGGTGTGACTGGAGCATGCTCGAGGAGGGAAGTTGTTTCTGTAAATAATTTAATTCTGTCTTTGAGATTTGTAGAACTGCCACTGGGTGTGATGTCAACAGCTTGCTAAGTATTCCCACATCCAGAGGGAATATCTCTTAGCACACTGTCTTTCTGGATGATCTTTCCGTAGCATTCAGTGTCCCTCCCCTGGGTAAGGCAGGTGAACTTAGTTATCCTACAGTCATAAGGTTATTGCTCAAAACCTCCCACAGTTTATATGAGTGTATGGAAAATTAAAAGAGAAAGAAATTCCTTGGCACCACCCGTCTTCCCCTACCTGAAATTCCACCAATTATATTGTGTAAGTAAGGTAAGTCCCAGGGTTGGCAGGGATCAGGAATGTGTTGCACAGTGTATTCCTCTGTACCGCACGCTTTGCATCCATGGAGCATTGGATTGACACCCCTTATGTATGGCTGGAGGATCACGCCTGCTGTTAGTTATCAGGGGATGATATGATAACCGTGACCCCATCTTCCCATAAAACTTAACCTGGATTACTGCAGTTCTCTTTCCATTCCTAGATGATTAGCAAAATTGGTCTGCCATATTTATTCAGAAAACAGAAGTTTGATGAGCTGTGGGTCTGAGCTCTTGTTCTATCTGTTCTTGGTGTTCCTCTCCTGAGAAGAAGCTGTTTACATTAGCTGACTTTTGGAGGTCTGAGTGGGACCTTCTGACTAAACTGGACGTGAGTCTTCAGCACTCTGTATTCTTGGTATTCTGTGTGACTGAATTCCACTTGAAATTAATTTTACTCATTTATGGAGGTTTAAAGGACTCCTTTCCTGTTAGATTCAAAACGTCAGCCTATACCTCGCATATAACTTGTGAGTAGAGTTTCTACAGTCAGAATTTACCAGGTAATCAAGGTTTAGCTGGGCTTTCTTTATGATAGAAATTAGAAATGTTTGGTTTTGTTTTTTGTTTTTTTGTTTTTGTTTTTTTGTTTTTTTTTTTTCCTGAAAACCTGTGCATTGCATTTCCACATCTCTTTAAAAATCCAGAAAATGTGGTTTTACCTGTTTGGAGACTGACACTGGAGAAATACATGATTACTTAGTGGGACATTTTACCAAAAGCAAATACTACTAATGCTCCAGTTTAAGGTTTGCACAGTGACTTTTAAATTCACCAATCACAAATCACATCTTACTCCCTGTCACACTGACAGCTACAATGTGCTTGAGTTAACAATGAGAAATAAGAAAATTAAGATGGCAGCATGTTTTCTTTGACAGCTCACATAATCTGGAACTTGCTTCTCTTTCACAGAACTATGTAGCCTGAGAATGGTGATATTAGAGACCTTCTGCAGAAGATCTCAGTTAACAATGATTCCTTCAGTAGAGGTGAAATGGAAATAGTTAGATAATGGGATTTATTTCTTTTTAAATAGTGAAATTATTATTTCCGTCAAAATGTTGATGCAAGGTTTTGATTTGTTTTGGTTTTTAAGCTATTTCCTATGTAAATAAATATGCTAAATCTGGGGAGGGCTGTAGAAGCTATGAGTCAGCACGACAACTGTACTGAGACTTTTAAAAGAAAAGGAAAAGCAGTCATGGGAATTCGATATATCCACTTCTTGATTACAGAAGCAACTGGAGCATAATGGGGAAGGATGATAAACTGAACAGCTCGACAGCCCCTCCACACAGTGCAAAGAAATGCATTGTCTGTGCAAGATGTGCCCCTGGTGTGTCTGTAGTACTTTGTATAAAGGTCTGATATTCTTTGTTTGTCTGGAAATAAATGAGGCAGACAGCTCACAGCTCAGGGACTGTGAGATTGTCTGCGTTGCTGTCTTGGTGAGGAGGAGTTTGTGGTGATTTTGCAGAGGACCTGAGAGGCTGCCAGTCTCTGCAGGCTCTGGAGAGTTAAGGTGACATGCATTTGGCCATGCTAGAGAGAAGGATAAGTCACCTCAATGAGAAGATGAGGGAGAAGGTATCTCTCTTTCTACCAGCATCTGAGTCTCTATATTCTGAAAGCTTGCACAGTATATGTAACTGCGGAAAGTAAAGAAGCCTGGATACATTATGAAAGTACAGACTGTTACAGCTAGTTCTGTTTAAAAGGATTCGGTAATATTTCAGCTTTTTTTTTTTGACAGTGCTGCAAGGAAAGGTGGTATGCTGAGAACGCTTCCTCAGCATCCTCCTATTGTAATTTGTGCAGTTATTCTTTTAGGGCTGGACACAACTCTTCCTCTATCTTCCTGGAGGCTAGGAGAGTATAATTTCAGATAAAAGCAGCTCACTAATCCCCCTTGTCCTCTCTGCCCACCCCCCAATGAATTTTTCAGATCCACAATTCTGCTTTTTCTATGTGCGCTGCCCTTCTGGAATTTATGGTGGAGCTGTTCCCTTTAATAAGGGGACAGTCTACTCAAAATACGCTCTAGGCAAAGTCCCCAGCCCTGCAAATATAGGGCATGGGCACTGTTTTGGAAAAAAACATGCTTTGTAATTTTACCTTCTGATTTCTGCCACCCAAAGGGAAGTCAAAAGGTTTCCATCACTTCAAAGGGAGAACCAATGGAGGACTTTTTACAGTTGATGCTCTCCAGACCCTAATTCCTGGATGACAGGAGAGAGTTTCCCGGTGAACTGGAGGAAAACACCTCATCTGCTGCTCTTACAGCAGCAGAGAGGGGAAGAGATGAGGGAGTTCAGGGACCAGAAGAACAAGACAACACAAAACTTGCAAGCCCTTAGGAAGGGCACACTTCTGACGTGTAACGTAATGCGGGGTGAACTGGGGAGTCTTAAGGAGAATGGAAAGCAGGAAAGTGTGCGATAGGGAGATAAAGGAATTCATTCTAGTGCCCCTGGGCTGTATGTTTTCTGTCCGGCTGTCTGCAAGGTGAAGGGAACAGCACTTGAGTTAATTGGGTCAGCTTGTGTGTAGGAGAGCAGAACCAATTAGCACTGTGTGAGGATGCAAGTAGAGATGGAAAATCATGAGTGTTTAGGGAGCAGAATCAATTAGGAACCTGCATTGGAGGGCCTGGGGGATTGTCCAGTTATAAGTTTATTTGATTAAGAAGACTCTTCAGTGCTTTGGGGAATGGAAATGCTTTTTTTTTTCAGATGATAGGGAGGCAGAACAGGATGAAGTAGGTAGAACAAAGAAAGAATTGAAAGGAAACCTGTCTTTAAGTCATCTCACTTTCCTCCATCTAAAATTTATTCTCACCTCCCAGGATTGTCATCCTTTTTCAATCTTTAATGCAAAGGCAGTTGAAAATGGCATAAGAGGGAGAAAGTGCCAAATCAAAGGGCCAACGCCCTCTCTTCCATTTCCATACGTTGCCATTAAGTACATATCACTGGTGTGCTCTTTTCTGTTCTTCCTTTGCACAAACTTCAGTAGTGGGGAGAGAGGAGCTACACACGAGCCACCTCAGCAGAGGGTTGTGTCTTCCCCTACCGAAGGAGACCATGTGAAAAGTCTTACCTGTTCCTGAGATTGCTAATTCACCCGCTTCCGAGTCAAAACTGCTGTGCAAATTTGAATGCAGTTTTTTCTCAGGGGGTCTTGATGTTAGCAAGTATACGTTCTATTTATACATGCTCATTCATACATATTTGTTTCTTTATGTATCAGTATTTTGAGCTTTGTGACACATTATGTTATACAGTAAATTTTGTTTTAATTGGGTTTTTAGAAATGTGTTCGGAAGGCCCTCTGGCCCTGTCTGAGGAGCTCAGTTCTAATAAGATGAGGTTTTAAATTTTGTAATGTAAAACAACTTGTGAGTAACTGGGTATAGAGAAGATTGAGGCAATAATGTTCTCTCAAAACGAGAGAAAAAAGGAAACACTCATGTAAAATGAGAAGTGAGCAACACCAGGTGTTGTATGTTATGCTTTGATAGTATTTTTCCTCTCAGGTTGAGAGCCCTAACTCCTGAACTCCTCAAATCCTAGGAGATTTCTTTGGCAAAAGCTCTAGACTTTTTAAAGCCTTGTTTGTACGTACATACGAACACCTTAAAAACACTTTCTCGCTACGTTAGGACATACATTTAAAAAGGAAAAAAAAAAAAAAAAAAAAAAAAAGAAAGAAAAATAATCAACCCTTCTCCAAATTTTAGTAGGCCCTGAGTCTCCCAGCTCAGGTGGGCGCATGCTGCTGGGCCTCTCAGCCCCTTCTTGTGGAGGACCTGATGACTTGGGTTTGTTTGTCCCTGTTACATTCCCTGAGCTCCTTCGCAGCTGTCTTCATTAGTCACAGCTCTGACCTAATGAAAGGAGAAAAGAAAACAAGTGGTTTATCCGTGTGTTAATTGTGAGTTTTCAAGAGGGGGAGGTGGTGACCCTTGCTGTTGCCTTCCAGGAATGTCAGCTCTGCTGGAGAGGAGGCCCGCAGAAGAATGAGGGAGTGTGACGGCCTGACGGATGCGTTGCTGTACGTGATCCAGTCTGCTCTGGGGAGCAGTGAAATTGATAGTAAGGTTTGTCATCTTTGTCTTTTAAGGAGCAAGAAACCCAGGTATTCAGGGTACATCAGGACTATAAAGTGACAGATTTAAAAAAAAAAAAAAAAAATGCGTCGTGAGGGGTGCCTTAGCAAAGTATAATTTTAGCTCATCTTTTTCCTTCTGTTGAGCTGTGCACTTTTGTGTGTTAAGTACTGGATTTGTGTGTACCCCTGTAGTGTGCACAGGTAAACATGTCATTCTCTCACTTGGATTATTAAGGGAGAAAATATGATACTGGTTTAAGAAGAGCAAATACGTCATGCTCCATGTGAAGTTCCTTACATTGCTCTACCAGGTTTACCTTAAAATTGATTTTCAGTACCCACGGTAAAATAAAGCTTGTAACAGTGAGGTAGGCTTACAAGGCAAACAAACAGAAAAAAAGTCGGGCAATTAATAGGCAGTTTTGCATTACGACCACAATATTTTTTCTTTGAAGAAGATCAATGAATGCTTTCAATAACAACTGTTTTAAGATGTGTTTTCACGTCAACTTTACTCTTCTGAAAGTACTAGGATATGAACATGCTTCTCCAAAGGTGATAGGCAGTGCCTAATTAAAAAGACTTATAGCATTTACAGATTGAAGATTTGTAATACATTACAGTATTCCAGGGAGGAAAAAAAGGCTAGTTTCAAATACCTTTTGCAGTGTATGGTGCTAAATTAATTACAAGTGCTGCTCTAGGGCAACCTTGGTCCATTTGCAAACCCCTAAGAATTGTAGGAGAGCAGCCTTTTACGCATCAGAGTTTTAAAGCCCCCTGGGTGTGTATTTCCAAATGATCCTTCACAGATAGTGGTCCGTGGGCCTCTGTGAGTTTACAGATTGGAGAAGGAAAATCTCCGTAACTTCCTGGTTGTTAGCTTGAACCAAATAGGTGAAATTTACCTATAAATTCAGGTGAAGAAGAGAAGAATTATGAGAGGTTTGTAGCATGTGGTGCTGTGCTAGCAGCATGTTTTAGTTTTTTAAAAGGGAAAAAAAAAAAAAAAAAGAAAGAAAGAAAATACAAAGAACCAAAAGAAAAAAACAACCAAATGAGAGAGGGGGGAAAAAAAAAAAAAAAAAAAACAAAAAACAAAAACACCCCGACCCATTAGTCTATAATCAGTTTTCCACGTTTTTTAGCTTTCTTAGCTTCAGAAGAGCTGGACCAGGGAGCCTTTCAAAGCTCTCTGATTCTACTTGACTAGCAGAAAGAGAAGTTAGAGGGGCTTCACTGGAGCAGAGTAGGAGGTAGGTGGAATGAGGGGGAAGTCGGTTTGTGCCCCATCTCAGAGCTCAGCTGCTGCTTTTTCAGCAGTTTCTTTGTAGGTGCCCCAACTGTTTTCAAGATTGTTTTATTGTTAAAAAGGCTAAATAAGGAGTGCAGTAAGTTCCCTGTTTTGCCTCTCCTTGTTCATGTAGACTGTGCTGTTTGTACTGTCATTTGTAGCTGGTATGGCTTGGAAAAACTGCAGGCTAAGTCATATATGGAGGAAGAAATGAGAGAAAAATTATTCTCTCTGCCTTAGTAGTTTCAACCTCCTGTCTCAGGTTTCTAGCTGTGTGACATAAAGCAATTGTGCAGCTAAATGCAGAACACCATAGTGTAGCTTCTTACCTTGCATCTTTATCTCAAAGTAGAAGGTAATTTTAATTAAATATTTAAATAAGTGACTCTAAATTGCTTCAAAATCTAGTTTCAAAAATGGTGCTATATTAACAAAAAATTGAACTTTCTTTTAAAGTTATGAATGTGGTTTTCAAAATTCCATGATTGCCTTATTAGATAATTTTGTAATACAGTTAGTGACTGAACAGGTCCCTGCTCTTGCAGACTCTGGAAGAGGATGGGGGACTTAGAAGCACATGCAGATTTTGTTAAAATTATTCCTCACGCTGGTGAAATTAAGAGTGCATAAATCTTAGCAGCACTACAAGCACCTTATCAACAGTTTTTCTTATAAATGTGTAATAAGAAAAAGCTAAAACATGGTTACCTGATGAAGTTAATGTTCACAGTTTTAGTTTGATCTATTAAAATAGAAAGACTGTGGAACTCATGTTTAGTCCTCTTATGATGGAACTGATAAAGGAATGAGGAATATAAGGATCCCTGAATATTCAAAGCTGCAAGTCAAGGGGTGAAGTCTGTCCGGCTGCATGGCTAGGACCAGCTTTCTTGGCTTGTAGGAGTTCACCTTCATGAAGGAGGTGTTGGTTGCATTTGAGCCTTGGAAGTTTGCTTATCAGTTTTTAGTTTGAGGTAACATTGTCCTGACAGTGGACTCAGTTTATTTGTTTTTGACATAATGAGAATTTTAGGTGCGAAAACTATTAATTGTAAAAAGGGGAAATTAAAATTTGGAACCTTAATCAACAAACGCAAAGCTTTAACTTCAGCACACTATGGCTGTGCGGAAGTAAATATTAGCAAGAGTGAATAGATGTCACGTGGGAAAATGTTAAAGAAAAGTAAAAGAGGAAGGAAAATCTTTGAAAATTTTATGGTCACTATGAGGTCTGGGGAGCTTTCGGGTATGAAAGGTGCACTAAGAACTCTTTCTATGTATATATTTCTACATGTGTTTATGTATTTGGCTGGCGACTTCAGATTAGTAGTAGTGTAATGTGAAGTTTCATCCATGATTAAAAATAAATAAATAATCCTGTGTAGATGAGTCTGAGTTCAGTATCATCTCTGGAACTTAATGTCATGGCAAAAGCTGTGTGCCAAATGCATACCTGGCGTAAGCTCATGCAGTATGTGAGAGTCAATGAAGCCCCATCTGTTTGCCTCACTGGTGAATATGGCAGAGTAAGACAGAGCCGAAAGCCTCACAATCATTCTGTTCTGGGTTAATGGAGCAACAGAACTAGGATGTAGTGACTATCTCTTTTTATCTCTATTGAGCATTAGGAACAGTTGAGATAAACATAGACAGACACAGACTGGCTTTTTTAGCTACGCTTTTCCTGTCTCCAGAAGATTAAGCTCATATCCTTCTTATTAGGGATAGTCAAACCAAATTGAACCAACTATAAATGAGTAGACTTCAAGTAAGTCTAAACTGAACTTCTTCTAGACTTGCAGAAATTATGTTGAATTATCCGTGAAGTTTCCACCACTGGTTCTCACTCCAGTTCTGGACTCCTGCCAGCATCTTCTACGGAAGGCACAACCTATTAGGGGGACAAATGGATGAGAGGGAAAGGCTGCCTGCAAAGTATTTGCAGCCTGGCTAGAAGCAGTAAAAGCAGCAAGACTCTTGAGATTACTAGTCTCACTTCTGGGACTCGAGAAACATCATCTGTTCATGCTGCAAGTACTTGTGAAACAGAAATCAGATCCCATTTTTTCTGGCAATTTACATAGAATTAAGCCAGAAAAAATATTATTTCTGGTTTTAAAAAAAAAAAAAAAAAAAAAAAGAAAAATCAAATGAAACCCAGAACCTATTGCCGTTTTGTGCTTGTAGCATTTTCTATTCACTGAGGTGGGAGTTCGCTGACGTTCTGGGTGTGTTCAGGTTCTCTTGGTCACTTTTTACCTCAGCTTATTTCACATGGGGCTCCAGCATGAAATTCAGAATGACAGTGAAAAAAACTCCTGGAAAATTATTGTACAGGATGCAGATATCTTTCTATAAAAATTCCTAAATCTCTTAAACTGTGGTTACCTGGGGAGCACACGGAAATGAGCAGTTGAGAACTGTGCTGGGAAAATGTATGTGCGAAGATCGATGATATTTCTTCTGCTTTGTGTATAGAGTGAGTGCAGGAAGGATTTTAACTTTTTTCTGGCTTTGTTTTCTGTTGGCTTTCTTTTTTTGGTCATACTTTTCAGACCGTTGAAAACTGTGTGTGCATTTTGAGGAACCTCTCATACAGGCTAGCTGCAGAAACATCTCAGGGACAGCAGATGGGAACAGATGAACTTGATGGATTACTCTGTGGTGATGCCAATGGAAAAGACGCAGAGAGTTCAGGGTGCTGGGGGAAGAAGAAGAAGAAAAAGAAATCACAAGATCAGGTAATGAAAGTTACTTGCAGCTGCACTGCGAGCAGTTGAAGTGCCCATCATTTAAAGTACAAGTAATTAATGCACTGTATTAGAAATAAAGTACATGATGCATAATATACAAAACTACTGCCTTTGTTAATTAGCTGAGAGCTTAAAGCAGAGTATGACTCTGGAGTAACAAAGTATGTATGCTTGAGAAAGATGCACATTATGTGGAAACTGTAGTCATGGGCACACTGTGAATGCCATAAATGCTGTAAATTGTTCAGTCTATTGAAGGAAGCCATTTATAAAGAAATGTGTGAGTCTTAACATTCAGATGTAATCTGCAGGTACTTCCACACAGCCACATGTGTATAGAGAAGCCCTGATGCAAGCAAACATCAGGCCTATATTTGTATGCTTCTTTGCTTTAAAGTTAGTCTTGTACTCTCCCTCTGCATGTTGAGAGAAAACTGTGCAGGACTGAAGGAAGCCGTATGAGTGAATGTTAAATGAGCATTATTGTTTTGATATATTTAATGTCATTATCAAGCAAAGGTTGAGAAGTACAGTCTTGATAGCTTCCTCCAGTTATTTGAGGTGCTATAGGTTTTTATTCTAGGTGGTTTGACTTTCAAAGTGTATTTGTCTCCTTGTTTTCCCATTAACAGCTTAAAATTTGGGGAGTGCTGGGAATGATATTACAGAGAAAGATGGTGTTGCATCAGTACACACACTAAATAGCAATGAGAGTGGGTACTGATTTATGAACTTTTTCAAATTATCTGTGCCGGTAGCAGGTAGTTCTCTATCTCTTTCTTGACTTAGTCTTTTCCATTGCCATTTATTCCTATCTCAGATTGCTCAAGGAAAATATTAATTTGAGTAAGCAATTAAGCGCACAGGGTATTCGAATAAATGAGATAAATCACTATTGAAAATATTCCTGAGTTCATAAAGGTGAATTGTATTAATGTGGAAAAGTTCTATGAACACTAACAAGCTAAGATTCAGGTACTGAAAAATTCAGGAGTCATGACTAGTAAGACTTTAATTTCACCTGCTCTTCTAGGTAAATAGTTGTTAGATAACTTGAATTTATTGTGGTCTTTTGTTGGGATTCCTGTATTAGGCTACAGGGAGATAAAAAGTGCCAAAGCAAACTAATTTTACCCCCTGAAGCAGTCATCATCCTTGTTCCTGAATTAACAGTTCCCACACACTATGCTTGCAGTTATTCAAAGTGCAGGAACAAAAATAGCTTGTCTGGATATGAATGGGTCGTACTGCAACTCGCCTTTCTCTTCTGAAGCTCTGTTTATCAACACGCGCGCGCACACACACTATATAAAGTCTTTTTTAAACTCTTATATTTCCCCTGTGATTTATGGATCTCGGGTTCATATTTTTAACTCTGTACTACTGACTGTTTCAATGTCCCTGTCAGAATTCTCTGTGCTTTAAAGGTTCCCTATAAAAGATCCCTCTCCTCCTCCAGGCCAAAGAACTAATCTCTTTTGGCTGATTTCCTTTACAATTTATGTGCTTCTGCCGGTTCTGAGATATCTTTTGTCTGTTTCTATAAGCATTCATTATCAGCATGCAGCATGGTAAAGGTCTCTTCAGATTTGCTTCTGTTTGTCTAATGGATGGGTTTAATACAATTTTTAAAATCCAAAGTAAAAAAAAAAGAAAAGTGCCCATTTTCAGGTTTGCGTTAACTAGGCTTTTCCGCATCAAGGAAATAAATTTACTCTTTCCAAAATTAATTTTGTAGTGCACAGGACAGCTTTGCAGTACAAACATTAGAAATACGTTTCTAATTATTTTCCTTTTTTCACTTCATTTCCTTTAAATCTGGACAGCCGACCCAATCTTGCCATATACCTGTTCTCACCTGTGGCTATTACTCAGTTCAGGAGTTTAAGGGAGCCTTGTGAGCCTCCTGCAGCACGCGTTATTCTCACCCCATGATCCTTGAATGTTGTTTACCATACCAAACATTTTAAAATATGTAGATATGTTATCAAGTTAACTAGAATGCTACTAAAACCAAATGTGACTGAGGTCTATCAGCAAGATCATCAGGCTGGAAACAGCTCTCCCAAGTTACGATCATCAGTGGAATAGAAAAACAGAAATTTTTTTTCATGTAACTGTGCCTTTATATTTAGTGTAGATCTTGACCCACAACTCAAACTGGGTATAGGTAACTTCTTTGGGTCCATTTATTTTGCAAAAATAAGTACACAAGTATATTGGTTTGCTTTCTGGAAACCACCCAGTTCCAATTATGTAAAACAAAAAAAAAAGTTCTTTCTGCTTCTTTGGCTCTGTCATTGTCTTGTGTTACTTCAGGGCCCCAGTAGATTCATACTATTGAAAAGTAGGAGTAACTGGAAACCCAGATCATCATCATCTTTTAGGCTGTGTCAGGGTCAGGAATACTCTGGATACGGTTTCTCTGTGTGTCAAGAAAAATCAGTATTCTTGGGTGTTTTGTTGGGATTGTTTTTTCCAGGCAAGAGTCTCTAACAACAGGATCATCTGGTGTTCCTCAGGCTAGTCAGAATTCACCCATCTAAACAAAGCTCCACAACACTTTCTGTAGGAGAAGCTTTTCACGTGTCCTTTCACCATACATTGTCTCCCTGTGTGCTGACTGCAGCCCTGTGCATTACACACGTATATATTTTCCATCGATCTCATTGTTTTTCTTCAAGACTTAAATTTTTCCTGGTAATGCCTTTCATAATCTCTTTTCAACTGCAGTGCTTAAGCTGTCACCTGCTGCTTGTTCTGTCCCTCAGAACAGATCTCATGTTCTCCTTGGGATGCTATTTTTAGAGTGCTCATTCCTTTGAGTGCCTCAGCAAGGGAAGCTTTTATGCTCTGAAATATCTAGCTGTATAGTTCTGAAGAACATGCTCATGATGGACAGTGTTTTACATGCAAATAGTGAAGGCATACCTATGGAATCTTTATTAGATCCAGTGATATACAACATCCAGGCCACTGAAATTGCTGCACACCACCAGGTATTTGGAACCTGTGGAAGGAAACCTCAAAGATCCGTGTCATGGTTTGAGCTCAGAGGGCAGATGAGAACCACGCAGCTGTTAATTCATCCCTTCCCTCTCAGGAATGTGAAGGAGAAAACAAAGGCTCAGGAAGTGAGATAAGGACAGGGAAGGGTGGCTCACCTGTTACGGTCATGGATAAAAGTCAGACTCCTTAGAGGAAGGAAAACAAAAAAGAATATCACTTTAATTCAAGCACTAACCAACACTTAACGGACAAGGTGGGATAGTAACATTTGTGGTAAAAGCCAGGTACAGCACTGGTATTATCTATGGAAAAATAGAAATCAAAACTTCTATAAAGGTCTCAGGAAAAATAGGTGAGACTCACCCAACTTTATTTCTGTCTCAGATCCCAAGGACTGTAATTCCCTGCTGTCGCTGTTTGCTATATTCTCTCTGCTGCTTCCCTGTGACCAGCTGTTACTGAGCCCACATCCCACAAAACTCTTCAGCTCTAGAGGCCTTCATCTCTGACCAAGGACATGGTAGACATTGACCTCTCTGCCTTGTATCATGTCACTCTTCAGATGAAAAGTAATTTTTCCTCTGATGAAAATTTTGTCACTGCTGTTGGCATGCTCACTGCTGCCAACGGGTTTATTCTTCGATCTGTGCAAGAAACACGGATTATGACAAACAGCAGTTAGGGAAAATAAGGTGTATGGTCCAATTTCAGTAAAAGAATCAGGGAGTTGTCATTAATATTTATTTTATTTCTTGTTATGCTGCCCATTGTATGCACATGTGGCACTATTTAATTTCCTTTCTTCACTAAGAAGAAACAGGCTTACTTCTTGGCTTCGTGTTCCTCTTGAGTTCTCCATCTGTGATCATTCTTGTCAACACAGAATCTAGCACAAAATCTGATTTTTGATTGGAAGTGACACTTCTGAGATGAGCCTGACCTTCTCTTTCACCTTCTGTCAGGAGCCTTAAGGTATAACAGCAACTTTTCAAGTTATATATCATTATGAATTGACTGGCACACCTCTTTACCATTCTTGCTAAATGGGGTGTAAATTCTTCAATCCAGGAGAAATAGCAGGTTTAAGGCAATAATACCTCAAAAAGAATAAAAAATAAAGCTGTCACATTTTCATGTGGTGAGACCACTATTTTACCAAATATATTTCAATACTCTACCAAATTAATAAGCATACTAAATTAATAAGCACAGAAACAGAAAGGGCGGCAGCTCCTGGGTTTAGCTCAGAATCTAAACTGAGATTAAGGATGAAAGGCCGTGTTGCCAGTATGGTCTGCTCAGGAAGGGTATTATTTCCACTTGTTGCTTCCTTGTCTTGCACAAGGTGAATATGCCAAGTAGTTGGTTTCTTTGATAATCAACATCTTGAACAGGTCCTTGCAGAGCTTCTTAGCAACCATTTCTAAATTCTTGCTTGCCTACATAGAAACATCTCATATACCCTAGGAATCTTGCAGTATCATGTATGACAAGTTGTTTTCAAAATCAAAACCACAGGGTTATTAAATATAATTTGCATTTGTCATATTTGTGGAATATAGTGCAAAGCCCATTAGCTTCAGCTTCCTATGGAGAGGAGAGGGGTGAGGAGAACGAGATGTAGTGAGATGGCAAGGACTGTCGATTAATGTTTTGAAAGCATTCCAAACACCTTTCCCAAAATTGGAACACCGATGCATCAAATTGGGGAAGTTACTGTTATTTATACAATAAACTGTATCCAAAAATTGCCCGGTTTTGATGGACAGCAGCTCTGTCCTCTTCCACCCTACTCCTGTAGTCTCTGTGTCAGTAGACACCTTCATTTATATTCGCCACCTTTCTATAGGCCTGCATGTCTAAACTGAAATTTGGCTTGATTTAAATAGTGGCATTCCTGCCTCCTTTGTATCAGCTGCATGGATTCCCATCATCCCTGACAGCAAGCTCTGTGGTTCTGATGACTTTTTTGTTACTTT